CAAGCCACAATGAAGGTCTAAGTGATAGAATGGGTCCATGGTTGAATAAAGGTGGCAACTTTGAGCTTCTAAAGCTCAAAAGTGCCCAGATCTGAAGTCCTTTTATCCACAAGAGTTCAAATCTCGGAATGACCTTGGAAATGGCCCAAAAATGTCACAATACAAGCTAAGAAGGAGATCTAAGTGAATAACAGCCAAGGTATAAGCTTTATACCTCTATGAAGACATAAAATGAGTCCTTAGTTCTGGATATTTGACCTTCCTTCTGCAACTCCAAGCCTTTGCTTCCTTCTTCTATCTTTAAATCACAACAATGGCAAAGAAATAGCTCAAGATCACTCAAGGTTGATTAGGGTTTTGAGATTAGGGTTTGGAGGTGATGGAGGATGGGATGGAGGCCAGATATGATGCTTAAATAAGGTGCAAGCCCTAAAGATTAGGGTTTCATCCAGCCTGTCCTACTCGTCGAGTCAGGTCCTCGACTCGTCGAGTAGATCACTTAAAACTCGACCATATACTGCCTTCTACTCGACGAGTTAGGGCCACCAACTCGTCGAGTATCCCTTCCAAAATGAATAAATAAATGAATTAAGTGCAAAGCAGGAAACAGGCGTTACAAAGACCCAACATTATATCGTGGTTTTGTGAAGGCCCTTATCTCAAATTTACTCGATTAAGCGTCACTATGTTATTCAACAGATCTACTTATACATGTATGAACCTCGGAAACCTCACTTTAGGGCTCTCAAGTGTGTTCTAATGAACCTGTGAGGTATCCTAAATCTTGGTCTACAATTATAGACTTCCTTTACGGATAAGTTAATTGCCTATTTCGATATTGAATGGGGTGGATGTCCCTTATTAACATGCAGATCAATGTCCTAATATTGTGTTTATCTTGGTCTAAGCTTATCTTTTGGTCTTCAAGGAGGCAACTCGCGATTCTAAGATCTATTGTTGAGGTTGAGTATTGTGTAGATGCCAATATGTCGTGGTAGAGACTTGTTGTATTCGCAAGCTTTGATACCCGGTTATCAGAGCTACAACCCTTTATTGTGATAATGCAAGAGCTATGTATATTCCGTCTAATGATGCTTAACATCAACAGACTAAGCCTATTGAAATTTATATTCACTTTGTTTGGGACAAAGCGGAAACCAATTATCTTTGTGTTCTACACGTAACGTTGTCCTCTTTTCAGTAGGTCGAAATCTTACCTAGTTACATTTCATCTTTTCACGGATTATTATTCATGTGTGAACGTTGACTCTTCCACCCACGATCAAACAGTGGGGAAAATTAATGTATATATACTTCTGTCCTTTTTTAGTTATTTGTAGTTATATAGCATGTATAGCTTGTCCCATTGCTCGTTCTATTTACTCATATTTATTCAAGGAATATTAACTAAACTAGCCATATTTTTAGTTAAATTTAAAGAAAAAAAAACCTAATTTTTTACTCTTGAATGGGGCATTCCAAAGCCAATGGAAAAGGGTCAGTCCCATTTGTGTTGTGTGGTCCTATATAAATAGGGCCCACATCTCATACCGGAATACCATTTCGAAAAATCTGAAAAAGCGGAACTTAATTTTTGAAGTGTTTTTGTGAAAAAAAGAAAATCATAAATTCCACAAACTAGGTTAGTTTTACATGTTTATCGACTTGGAACTTATGTCTATATGTGTAAAGGGTAAGTCTAGCATGTACATTCTCATAAAACCTGAATTTCATTTTTTTCTCATACTTTTTTTGTTAGTTAGTCGTTCTGTGTGCTAGTAACCGTTTGTAGCCCAAACAACGTTAAAAATACACCCCCAAATGCTAAGAGATGTCTGCAATGATATTATATTTTTTGGAATGGGAAGTTCTATTCTCGAATGATATGATATGATATGTTATGGAATGGATTCTTTGTTTATTTAGAAAAACACTTTGTTTATAGAGTACACTGTTGTATTATACTTTTAAGAAGAGTAGTGATTTGCATACAAGCAATTTTGTTCAATCAGTTTGAAATCTGAAACATTAGGTTGAATTAGTACAAAAGTACAGAAGATCAGTTTGCATGAGTGTTGCTGAAAAATGAGTTTTAGATACAAGGATATTGTGGCACATCTACAAGAACTTTCATAATTAAATCCGATTAAGGTAAGACTGAATTTGAATACTTCTATTATATTCATAATTTATAATATTAAAATATATATTTTTCTTTGCAGAGATAAATACATGATGTTACAATAAAAAAAAGTCACACCCATCAAAGTCAAACATGAAAACTAAGAAAGAAAATAAAGAGTGTTTTAAACTTTAAAATGAAAGCATATGGAACTTCCAAAGACGGGAGCGAGTCAAACCTAAACAAAACTATTATTTCATATTAGTGTAGCATGTAACTTTACGGACCAAACATCTTTTCAAAATGATTAATTTTTTTTAAACCATATGAATGTTTTAAAGAGTTCTATGTTTTCTTATAACAATATTCAACATTCACTACTGCACCACCTACACCAATAAGACATGTTATATTGATATGACGATATTAGAAATGATTCATGATTTTCAACGTGTGCAATAGCGATTGTTGGTATTAGAAATCCCATTACCGTCTTCAACAACCGATGAGCATATAAAGTTGATGCTTTATAATATGCAAAAACTACTTATTACAAGGCCTGAAGATTTACAAAAGTTTCTCAGCTCAATGGAAAGAATCGAAGAAACACATAGGGTAAGTGCAACAATAAAGGAGCGAGCTGAAATGGATGATACTGAGTTTGGATTAACTGGAAGCTACATGCAATTGTTTGGAGTTCATATAGACATTAATTGTTTGCACCGTATGCAAGTGTCAAGTAATCATGGGAATCAAGTATAAAGAAAGAAAATATGATGTGACTTTAAACATTAATATTTAAAATTTTATGGTTTTCATGAATGATAGTACTTTTCATTTTCATTAGTTAAAAGAACCTTAGAAAACGATAAAGTAACTTTCAAGAAGCTAATACATACTTAATTTACGAGCGACACATCCAGAAATTGTAAAGGATGCATACCTTATTCACGTTTAATAAATCACCCTTTAAATCTAACAACTTCTTCAATACGATCATGTTCTTCCTAAAGTCTATCAATCTTTACATCCGCACCACTAATCCACTTTTCAGCATCTTTTAGTTTTTTTTCTAAGTATGAGTTGTTCGGTTTTCTTTTCCTTTCACATGTGTTGATAGAACATACGAGAGGTAAATAAGGACTCATTTTCTAAGTCCCCTTTCGGTTGGTTTCTTTAGTTTGTGTCATCGCTTAAAAAATGTTATCAGACATCTTAGCTAGTAGTGGTATATTCGGACCTTCGTAAAATGAGTTAATACTAGAACAATCATAAGAATCTTTCTCTTCACAATTCCAAACACCAAATTCATATCATTTTTAAGTAAATAAAAGTAATAGTATTACAACACTTAAATAGTGCTTAAGGTACTTGGTGGTAAATTGAAAGTGATAAGTGATGAATTAAAGGTGGTAGGTGGTAGGTGGAAACTGACTTTCTACTATGTGGTAGATGATGCATTTTCATTCGGTATGTAGTTGGATACACTATAGACATCAAATAAATATGAACTATATGGTAACATTCTGGCATGTTTAATAATTGTGTTGCTTCTATCATGTGACCACAAGGGATACCGCAACTCCGCCATTTCCCATATGTACAAGTACAAAGTTGAAGATTTACAAAAACCATTATTCCTAAAATTTCTTACATCAAAGTTGTAGTGTGACACATTTCTTGTATGTCATCTTACAAAAAAAAAATGGTAGCATTTTTGTCATTCAACAACTAAAGAATATATAATTATATTCACCTTTTTACCTTCAAAGTCACTACGTTGAATATAAATGTGTTGAATCATCTCACGGATACCCTCAATGAGTGTCGTTGTCGGTAAATTTTGTTCGCCCCTTTAAATATGAATGATCGTTACATTGAAACGAATGTTAAGGAAAAAGATTTTGCATGTTTCGTGTGACCAATATTGTCAAGCCAACTACATTGACTCCCGGTAGGTATAGATCCGATTGCATATTGATTCTACCCAAATTTTGTTCAAAACCAGACATTCTATATGATTTGCACACGTGCTAGAACAAATATTATATAACTCTACTTCGACCAATTCTAGAATGTAGTGTCCTAGCCTCTTTCCTCAATACATTTCTTTAGCCTCATTTTGAACTAGGACCAAAATTCGACGTTGGAGGTCATGCTCGGATCAAACGCTATAGGCATGATCTGATGGTTTTCGTCCATATGAACATAAACATTAAACATAACTAGTTCACTTCAAAGGGAGCGTATCTATGAATATCACTAATAGCATGCAAGTGAAAAATGTATGAACATACATTTTTTGTAACATTAATTGTAATAATATAAAAACTCAAAAAAAAAAATAAAAACAATTAATATATGACAAAATATCTTATCACACGTCCCACAGCCACAACAATAATTGAAAACGTTTCATAACATCTTTCTTGATCAGCGACGTAGGCATGTAGAGGCAATAGTGGGCATTGGCCCACCGTACACAACCGTTTAAGATTATATATATATATATATATATATATATATATATATATATATATATATATAGGAAGGATCATTTGAGAACCTATAGTTTCCCGAGAACCTGAGAACCAAATAAGGACCTTTATATCAAAATAATAGAAGGTTAAGATGATTTGTGGCATTATTGTAAAAACTTTAAAAAAATAAACACGGGGGCATCTTATTTAAACTAATCGGAGGGCATTTAAGGGATGAGAACTTACTTAGTCAAACCCTTTCCTTATCCTCTTTCCCCCTTCAACTCGTCTCTTTCCTGTTCATCCAACTTTCGACTATCTCTCCTCAGACCATCCGTGTTCCATAATCTACAGATCATCGATGATGAATCAAAGAATCAACAGGTCGATGTCGTCTTATGGATCAACAGAGTGACATTCCGATCATTCCATCTCGATCGTCTACACCTTCCACCTTGATAATAGATGACATCGTTGTATTCCTCACCTTTCCCATGCCATCGTTGTATTCCTCCGCCCTCTGCCCTCCAACGACAACCCCTACATCTGTTAATGACCACCACCTACATCAGCCATATCCCTCGGCTGTTATCAAAAGCGAAGAAGAAGCTGATAGTTCAAGCCCTAATTGATCAGTTAGGGCTCTGAAACGCCGCCAAAACAATCATCGGTGATGAAGGACACAGAGGAGTCTCAGGTGGAGAACCTACTGTGTTTCCATTGGAGCTAATGTCATTCACGATCCTATTCTCATATTTCTAGATGATCCGACGTCCAGCCTCAACTCCACCGGTGCTTACATGGTTGTTAAGGTGCTACAACATATGGCACAAACCGGAAGCATCCTCATAATGCCCTCGATTTGATCAGAGACTAGGAAGTTCTCCAGGAGGAAGCAAAAGCCTTGTCGATTTCATCAACAATCACCACACATTTCAATCGGATGCACATGTAACACAACTGTGCTTTATTTTGTAAATTCATACAATTCATCTTTATTTTGTAAATTCATATAGTTGAAATTGTCCAAATTGACACTGGAGCCTGATTCAATCAACAAACCGTTTTTCATGGTTGTATTGTTTGTAGACAATAGGGATGGGACATACACTGGCTTCTACATGGCAATGAATGTTGGAACTTACAAGATATGTGCTTCATTTGATGGAATGAGTATCTCCCCATGTCCCTTTGAGGTGGCTACTTACAACAGTAAGTTTAATTAGGAGTTGAATATTTAAATAGAAATAGAATATGTGTCTATATGACCTATATTTCTTTTGTTCTTCAGGGGAGTACTTTCCTATAGCTTATGGTCTTGATGTCTCTGTTTGGGAGGATGAATCCATTGTTTTTAATGCTCTAGTAAATTATTACTTTGTTGGTTGAAAGGCAAAAGTCGTTGAATATGAAAGTGTATGTTATTTACTATTTAGTTTTTAATTAAACATCGATCATCATAATTGTTTTTAATGTTTGAAAAGTTCAAAATACTACTAGTATTCAGCTGAAATTTTATTACTGAATGAAATATATTTTGTATTGGCAGGCTGCCTGAACTGCTACAACAGGTCTTCATTATGTAAAAGGGCAGTTGCAGAGCTACCAGTTACCAAAACATAAACATCAAAACGGGTCATTGTTAGCTGGAACATTATTAGCAGTCAGCCCTGTCTCACTTGTAATGGCTCCCATGGGAGTTGCACAGAATGCAACAAAGGAACTTCTTGATTCTATTATAGATGTTATTGTTCGGATATTTGGTTAGTATAACTATATAAGTTACTAATCATGTAATCATCATCTGTGATTGTGACTGAGTGAGTATATTTTGCAGAAAACAATGTGGTTGTTGGAGAGCTTCTTGAGTCAAAATCTTCTCAAAAAGCACCAATGAACACACCGAAATCCATGGTGACTGAGATTTCTGGGAACCCTGATTCTGAATCATCTAAGGACACAGGAGGCTACACTATTGGCTTTTCCATGACTGTTCTGCAGGTAATTACTTATTTACTCTTTTTACTATCTTATGAATATTCATTATATAGTTCATGATCTTTAACTGTATATATGACAGAGTGAATTCCAACAACTTATTTGTGAGATTCTATGAGCAACTCCTGAAGCTGCATCTGCTGATGATGTTGTTCAAACAGCTAGACTTGCAAATAAGGCTCCTTCAAAAGAAAAGGGGTAAGCAAATATACTCTCCTTTTTTCTGACCTTTTCCATTCCCAGCTTTTGTATAGCTCATTTTTCTGTTTTGTTATTTATAATAATACTTTTGTTAACAGGGATAAGACAGAAGATGGCCTTACATTCGCCTTTCGCTTCACTGATGCTTCAGTATCCAGCCAAGGTACATGAAAGACTCTTCTCTTTGACTTTATATTATATATTACTACTTATATTTGCAAAGTTTTTTAACTTTTGTGTGGTCTGACTTATGTAATTCACATATGAATTACATGTGATTCACATGTAATTCACATATGAATTATATGTAATTCACATGTAAATTACATCTGATTCACATGTAAATCACATATGAATTACATGTGATTCACATGTAATTCATATATGAATTACATGTAAATCACATATGATTCACATGTAAATCACATGTAATTCTCATGTAAATCACATATAATTCACATGTAATTCACATATGAATTACATGTGATTCACATGTAATTCACATATGAATCACATATGAATTACATGTGATTCACATGTAATTCACATATGAACTACATGTGATTCACATGTAATTCACATATTAATTACATGAGATTCACATGTAAATCACATATACATCATATGTAATTCATAAGTGAATCGCCTGTGACTCATATGTTAATCACATATGTATTTTTGTGAGTGTTTTTGCATTAATCAATTTTTTTTAATTTTTTTGTAGATTCGGAAGAAATTGTTGTGAATATTGAAGAGGTGAAGATGATAAATTGAAGAAAAATATGGAATATTGACACGAAAAAATAAAAACGCTTTGAAATTTTGTACATTTTTTTTTTGTTTTTAATATTTTTTTTGTATCGAATAAAATACTTATTCTATTGTGTTTATAGATTGGTAAATAAAATGAGTTTTTTTATGATCTACTTACGAATATTATAGTATAAAAAATATCAATATATGCATTTGAAAAAATATGCATATATGCACTTAAAATTTTATTATTTTTTTTAAAATGCAGTTTTTTTTTGAAAAAAATGTATATTTCTTTAAAAAACATGCAATTTTTTTCATTAAAAAATGTAGTTTTTTTTTTTCAAATTGCAGTTTTTTTTGAAAAAAATGCAGTTTTTATTAAAAAAATTGCAGTTTTTTTGAAAAAAAAATACAGTTTTTTTTAAAAAATTGCAGTTTTTTAAAAAAAAATATTTTTTTCATTTTTTTAAAAATACATGTTTTCTATAAAAAATTAAAAAATCTGCATTTAAAAAAAAACGAAAAAAACTATTTTAAAAAAAATTTGAAAATTTGATTTATGATGTAAATTTTTAGACATTTATATTAATATATTAAATAACACAAAAAAAAATTAAACATTAAATGAGATTGGTAAGATGACGATCATGTCCTTAACGAATTACTTTTGATCCAATACTCCACTTGTAGTTCTCGGGTTCTCGGGAAACTTTGAGTTTCAACCGATCTCAAGCCTATATATATATATATATATATATATATATATATATATATATATATATATATATATATATATATATATATATATATATATAATATTTCTGTTAAATAAAAGAGAATTTATGGCATAACCCACATACTCAAAACTTTAAATTATATATGTACGAATTGATACTCTAACTTTTGGAATACATCCCAACATTGTTCCTTTTTAACTTTAATTTCCATCAAGGTTCGTATTTTTTATTTATGTAATTAATCAATTATCTATTTTATCTATTTCTTATATAATTCTTAATTGCCAATTTAACATAGGTCTTGATTTTACACTTTTATCGTATATTCGTATTTTATAAATTAGGTCGTTTGTTGTTGCTATGAATTAACTATTTGAATTATTGTATTATGTGTGTTTACTGTATTACATATAAATTTGTTTTGAATAAGAATATCAAATTATTTTTGTAACTCAATTTTTTTGTGGCTAGTAAATCTTCGTTGAGCAATGGAAAGAAAGCAAAAAATATAATATATTTTTCACGTGTAATGTTTTACCAAGAGGCGAAGAGAAAAACACATCATCATCATTACCGGTTGGGAAATCTCAACCACCTCCGGACAATGATAATCATCTACCATCTTTGGCAGCTAAGAACCCTGAACCATCTTCGACGGTGGAAATCCTAGATTTTTTTCTATTTAACATGATCCTGGCATACGTCTACCTATATGGAAACATGCAACTAATATGAAGGATGAAATCAGACAAACATACTTAAGATCAGGGCCACATCAACTTGTGTTGCCTAAATATCCTCCCTCTATGTCAAAAAGTCATCCAAGACTCTTTCAATCTAAATGATATATCGAATTTCATTGGCTTGTGTATTTCAAAACTAAAGATAGAGCATATTGTTTGTATTGCTATCTTTTCCTTGAAGAATCAAATACCCATATAATGGTCATGATGCATTTGAGATCAATGATTTTAAAAACTGGAACAAAGTTAAAGTGGAATATTGTTCATTTTGTAAACACGTATGAGATGGACCAAATTCTCAACATAATGTTGTTGTACGACTTTGTGATACTTTGATGAATCAATCGTACATATTGATAAAGTGATGCAAAAACAGCCTGATGATCAAACTGAAAAGAATAGGCGTAAGGGTGAAAACATCAATAGATGTTGTTCGTTTTCTTTCATTTCAGGGGATTGTCATAAGTGCTTCATGTAAATGCCAAGATGAGCTATAAGCTGCTGAAATTGTTGACGTGCTAGAATATGGTGAAATTAAAACTGGTAAAGGGACTAATCATATTGGTACTTCAAAGTGTGTCGGAGACACACGTTGGAGCTCACATTTTACTTATATTAGCAGTCTTCTTCGGATGTATAATCCAACTTGTACAGTTTTGGAAAACATAAAAAAAAGGCGGACTTTAATTACAAAACAAAAGGTGATGCTAGTGTTGCGTTGAAAAGAATGAGATCTTTTCAGTTTGTTTTTATTTTAGATATGATGAAACAAATTTTGGGAATTAATGATATTCTTTGTCAAGCTTTACGATAAAAGTAACTGATTGACACCGTTAGAGATAATGAATAGGGCTCTTTTCTTGATGATGTCATTGAGTTTTGTAAGAAGCATGTATTGATATTTCAGAATTTGAAGATCCTTATTTTGAAGGGAGAAGCAACATGAAGGGAAGTCATATTACTATTAAGCATCACTATCATTTTGATATATATTTAATGAAACAACTGATTTTCAGTTACAGGAAATTGAAATAATGTTCAATGAAAGAGTTGTATAGCTTTTAGAAATTAGTGTTGCTTTGGATCCGAAAGAGGGATTGAGTTACAGGGAATTGACACAATGTTGCTTCGGCGAGTGTTGACCTTTCCCGTGTCTACTGCAACGATTGAGCGTGCATTTTTCGCCATGAAAATTGTGAAGAATAGTTTGCATAATAAGATGGATGATGATTTTATTGTTATCGGTTTGGTACTTTACATCGAGAAGGATATTACTAATATTTTTAGTTTAAACTCCATTTTAGATGATTTTAATGGTGTAAGAAAGCATCTTGTGCAACTTAAATAAACAATTTACTTTTAAAATGCATACATTGTTAAATTTTGTTGTCATTTGAAAGATTTTGCTACGTGTTTATATTTTGTAATTTGTTTGACCTACCCAAAAACAAAATCTTGTCTACGCCACTATTCTTGATGTTGGTGAAACTTGTCGGGTTGGTTCTTTCAAGGCCATTGAAGTACATATAAAGGTTAGTAAAACTTTCTTCGTGCTCTCGATTTGATGAACATATGGAGGTTAACAAATAATTCTGAAATCTTGGTTGTAGGTGAAAAAAAGATGGAAAACAAAGGACATTTAGTGCAATGATTTCGGAATTTACGAATGTAAGAAGACAGTCTAGAGATTTAGGTGTTGTTTGTTTTTTCGAAACGAAAATGTATGAAGTCTGCGGACCACCTCTGCAACCATCTATAGCAGAAGAGGAAGACCAAACGGCTGCAACATATAATAATAAGTCTGTTTGTTTTTTAACCTCTGCGGATTGTTGAAATAAGTTAAAGTAAAAGTGTGAAGAGGTTTGAAGCAGAGGGTTCAGTGTTGTGTCACGCAGTACACGCACAACAGTTTTTAAGTAAGAAGTTTTCTGAAAAACAAACAGTTGCGAAGAGTCAAGTGTTGTGCGTGTGCTGCACGGCGCAGCAATAAGTGGTCAGAAGTGGTTTTCCAACACCTTACTATGTTGGTCCGGAACGGACCTAACTAGTCCGGAATGCAGAGCTCCGGATAAAGTGGTCGGTTTTCAAAAAAAAAATAATAATAAATAAAATATATTTTTGTTAATGAGGTCGTTTATAAAGATTAGTTTTATTAATATCCCTTTATTCTATCCTCAGTGGTTATACAATGGAAATTATGTCAAATTACATATTTAAGCAGCCTAAGACAGCATTTGGTTTTTAATCTTGTTTTGAAGGTCTTTCCACATAAAAATTCGGTGTCTTTAGGTTGTTGATTAGTTTCTGTTTGGGATGATTAGATTGAATAATATATCATTGGGCAAAATTGAAGCACAAAATCTACGAATTTTGAATGGGAGACGATGTCGGATGGTTATGCAGATTGCAGAATGTATACAAGATAAACAAAATCAAAAGCTATGCAATCGGGTTGAAGATAAGAAGTGATGATAATACACAAAACAGAACATTTGTCGGCAATTTTGGTAGTCAGGATTCAGGAATAACGTCGAACACGTTGTGTGCAAAAAGTTCACTTGCTTACTTACGTCTCATTTCATAACAGCAACATAATCAAAAGCACTGAACAAAGTATCAACCAGACATTCATTGAAATTTAAAGTAACAAGAAAGAAATCCTACGCAGTTGCAGGTGGTGACGACGTTGATGACGGAGAAGCTTCAACGGCCTGGTCAGTGACGAGAGTCCACTCCGGGGGAAGGTCCGGCAGAGGTGGGTAAACAGCAGGCCCACGGTTTCTGTCCCACGCCGCCGTCTTCTTCGGCCTTGTTTTCCGGTGGTGTGCTGTCGCCTTCTTTTGTGGCCTCGATGAGCATTCTATCATTAACCCTATATTGTCTCCAATTTCACGGCCATACTTGACTTCCGGCGAAGCAACCCTTGTGGCACCGCTGTAGGATGATTGACGGAGAGGAGGGATTGAGGAGGTGGCGGCGATTTGGACGCCGAAGATTGCTGATACGGACATCGTTTTTTCGACCGTTCGTGGAACTGGCTGACGAGCTGAGAGGATTACTTATGTTATCCAGTTACAGTTATGCAACGATGTCGTTTTGCTGAATACTTTGTTGTTGTTGTTGTTGGGCAGGTTGTTAATGGACAAGTCTTGTTGGGCAGGTTGTTAATGGACAAGTCCATAAACCTAGGACTCCTAAACCCTAGTCCTAGATTGTTATTTATTTATGGGCCTCGCAACCCAAACCAACCAAAGCCTATAATATTAAACTCATGCTAATACATAGACCTATTTATGTTAGGCAGCGTTTGGTGGTCGGAACTGAACTGACACTACAGAACAAAACCTTTTGAAGTGGTGTTTGGTGGACACGAACAGGAACATGGTAGAATTTTAACCAAGTCCAATGAAACTAAATCTTAAAATTTTAGTCTCATCCAAAACCATAGAACATAGTGGAATAGAATAGACAATGACAGAATTAACCCTTGGATTCTCTTCTCCACCATTTTGAATCACCTTCCCAACGACACTCCAGTGACCGCCATCTCGAATAATTTTTTCGGTAATACTCTGGTGAACTTCACCCTTCTCCGATGAAGGTCTGCCTTCATCTTTACTGGTCGTCTACCTTCATCTCTCCAACTTTACTGCTCAATCTGCTAGTGAACATACAGTAAAACCAGTGATATATTCCCCTTCATTTCTCGATCTACTTCTTATTCCTTCTTCTCCTGATTTGCTTCATGTTCCTTCCTCTCCCGAGCTGCTTTCCTTTCACTCTAGGTCACAGTGGCTTCCTTGTTTCCTGATACAATGTCTATCTTTTCTCTTTTTTTATGCATAATCTGCTTCTTTCTCAATTTTGACATGCACCTAGTAGATATTCCTTTTTCTTCTTCCTTTGGATTTAATTTTCATAAAGTAAGTGCTCAGAATGAAGGATTAAGATCTAATTGGTACTTTTTTTTATATATTTCAATATAATATATATGAAGAAAGTACTAAAGTGGAAGATTAATGGTTCCCAAGATCATCTATCAAATCTAATCCACCGTATTTGGGTTTTCTTCTTGGTTATTTTTTTGTATATTATATATGATAGCCCTCATAATTAATTAGAGTAAGGTTAAAAAAATATAAACAATCTATAGTCTATATGTATTTTAACAATATTGAGGACAATTTGGTAACTGTACCATTTTTTAATTCATTTTCCTTGTCATACCAAATGCATTACAAACAATTTGTTCAGCCCAGTCAAGTTTTATTTTGTTCAGTTCAATTCATTTCTGTTCAACTTATCCCACTGTCAAACACTACCTTAAAGTCAAGCTGAATTGAATATCTATGTCTAAATTTAAGTACTTTGTTCAAAATAAATAATTATATTTTATTATATTAATTTTGTAACATCCGGATCTTCGGGTAAGAAATTTTAAGTAAAATATGAGTTTTTGGTGGGTCACAACGTAAGGGAAGCATCGTCACGTCATGACATGGTCGCAAGAGATGGGATTCTCTTTTAAGTGTCACGACGTGACACTATAATGGTCACGACGTGACACCTAATCAGGGGCAAATCATAATTTTCGGACTTGGACCCTATTTAAAGGAAGTAGGGGGCTAGGTTTTCTTTCACTCTCATCATCCATCACCTCCTAAGCCCTTGAAGAAAATCCTAATCCTTTTCCTCTATTTTTGAGCTCTTTGTACTTTTGGTTGCTTTTAAGGGAAGAAGGCCTTGGTAGTGTTGTGAGCATATTGACAAGCTTTAGGACTTCATTTGGGCATCTCTGGACCTTTGTAAGTGTTTCAGACCCAAATTGTATTGCTCTAGATTGCTAGATCTAAGCTTTTATCCCTTTATCTTCAAGTTTGAGCAAGTTGACATGGTGGGATTCCATAAAGTTGGCAACTTTATGGGTGCTTGAGGTCCTTTGAGTGTTATATGGTTCATATATGGAGTTTTCTAGTGTATTGGACCCATGCATGAGATCTTTGGTGATGTTTCTTCATTTTTGACCTAGTTCGAGTCTTAGACTCACAATGGGCATGCATGGCTGAAAAGCATCGATCTTTAGGTTGTATTGAACATTAGGAAGCCTTCTGGAAGGATTGGATTGACGGCTTAATGGATTAAGAGTTGAATCCATTAAGCTGAGAAAACCCATTTTCACGACGTGACAGCCTCCTTGTCACGAGGTGACGATTGGGGATTTCCCGGTTATTGTGGATAGATTCTATCACGATGTGATGACTTGTCCATCACTAAGTGACGATATCTTGGATTGAGATTGAGTTGGCTGAGTTGGATCGTGTCCGATTTTAGGATCGGGTCGAGTGCGTTTCTCACAACATGACCAACTTACCATGGACTGGTCACGACGTGAGGGTCAACTGATGGTGATGTTGACCGTTGACTTTGACCTTGATCGTTGACTTGTTGACATGGTTTGACTTTTGGTTAAATTGCTAGTTTTAGAGTATAGACTAAGGTTGAACCATGTTTGGTTCGCTGGGTGTGTTGTAGCACATGTTGTGTGGCATTGAGATATGGTTTATCTAACTTCATGAGACAGGTGAGTCTTCTCACTTTACTATGTATGTTGTTAGATTGTCTTTGTAACTCTTACATGAAAGACTGTGGTTGGATCACAACACCTGTATGAAAGACTATGGTAGGATCAAAACACTTGATTGTCTTTGTGATTTACCTGGAATACCATCGTTGGATCATGGCAGAAAGGTTACGGATGGGTTGTAATCTGGGAGTGAATGTAAGACTATGGTTGTATCATAAAGTTCATGTAGGGTTGGGCCCACTGATATATATGGTATGTTGTATTTTGGGAAACTCACTAAGCTTTGTGCTTATGTTTTTGTGGTTTAAACATTTTCAGGTACTTCCAGTTCCAAAAGGAAGGGTTTGGCTTGACTGCATAACAGCCCCAGATGATTTTCCGCATTGATGATTGTTATTTTACTCTGATGATTGTGATACATTTTACTATGATGGATTTTAGAACAAATATTGTGTGAATTTGATGATTCAAAAATGAAAATTTTTATTAGTGAGTTTGGGATGTTACAAAATTAATTTTTTAATTACTATTTCTTACAAATTAACGAAAACACTTAACATACTTGATATATATATATATATATATATATATATATATATATATATACACACACACACAAGGTTAGAGACACGTGGGAACATATGTGTTTATAAAATAGACAATGAAAGTGGACTGATAAAATAAAAATAATTAAAAATTCAATACTAAAATATATTGAAGTATGAATGTCAATATATGATCATATTATACTTTAATAAATAAGACTTGAATGATTCATAATTTTATTTTATTTTTTATTTTTTTAATAGAATATGGTTAAGATGATTGTAAGATAATATGATCTAAATAAATAAAAATATATTATCTTTTGATGAAAGGAAAAAAATAAACATCTTATACATCTAAAAAAAATAATATACTTATTTCAACAAATATTTTTATATGATTTGTGTAGAATTAAGTCTTCCAAATATAACAATAAATCAATATTTAAAATACTTGAGTTGTAACTTTGAAGTTGGTGCCACAAAATATGTGAACTTTTTTGCTAAGTAGATGACATTTGAGATAAAAAAGAAAATATTATATTTATTTATAAGAGATAAAGTATGTAAAATGCAATGATTAATGATTTAAAAATTTAAATCATGATTATACTTTTAATATTCAAAATAAGAATATTGATATTTATAATTTTTTTAAGTATTAAATGTGAATATTTTTTAAGGATGTCACATGACATGACATCATTAGAATCATATTCTACAAAGATGTCACTTGGCATTTAGTGATATTTATTTATTATGCAGTAATTGGTTTCATTTGTTATTTGAAATGTTTACATTATTAAAATTAATTTATACTTCTACAATATTGTAAAATATCATAGATTTCATTTTTATCGTTCGTTTAGTATTGTAAAAATTAGAATGATGAATATCCAAAAAATAGCTCTACATGTTATTTAACAGGGAAACTAAGTAATCTAACCTATATAAATAGTCTCTTTGACAAAAACAATAATTTTTCTATAAAAATGACCATTTTGTCTGGAACTATGTGTTCCGGAGTGAAGTTCGGAATCCCGGAGGAACATTTTGGACTAGAATTCCAGAGTAACTTTTTTGTTTTTTTTAATTAAAGGTTGGTCCTTTCTTATGTGTTTATTTTTGTGTTTAATTATAGTTTATTGGTCGTTAACTTATATATGGTTTTTGAAAAATAAATTGTATTTATTAAAAAATATAACGACAGACATGAACAAAATGAAACCAATTACTAGTGCATTAGTAACTTTGTGACTCCTCCTGGTTCAAGTATGAATCATGTGTTTCCGGTAGTACGCTACCTTCCACACCTACTCATATCTGTCCCAAAATTTGTCTCGCAGTCCCAAGTTCTTATTCCTAAAATCACAAAACAATTTAACACACACGAATGTGTCCAAGAAATCATAAAAATTTTCCTAGACTCCACTAGGACTTCTTCCAGGCGTATCTTTAATAGTAATTCTACTCCAACTCGGTTAGTGGTGGAAACGCCAGACGATGGTAGGACTTCGGGAATCACACCAAAAGTTCTACTATCCCGCCAATCGAAGGTGTACTTCAGATGTATCGTACTGTTATGTATTCTAAAGGCAAGATACCACTCTATAGGTATTACCTACGATATCTTCCGATAGTTATCATTCACTATCGTAAGCCCTCTCATTTCCTCTATTTGCTCAGTCTGCAACGAGTCTTTACCATGACGTTGTGTACACCAAAGCAGACGTTCGGTGCACCGAGATGAGAATATAGATAAGGAAGGTTTTTTGACGCATGATCCTCCTTATCACTCTGAAAAGTTATATGTCAGTTCTAATACCGTAATTAAACGTTTAGAAACCTAAACACATAAAATTTCCTAATTCTAGGTCGACAA